AACGTTACAAGAAAGAAAAGAGGCATGACAGAAACACTGCAATATATTTTAAAACTGTAATAACTTTACTCTTGGACGGAGGATGTGCTCTCTCATTTCATTTGTAAATTGTTATTTGTCACTGTCGCCTGCTGAAGGTTCGTTTCTATAAAAATACATCTATAATCATCCTGTTGTTCTTCATGTGCTCGTCTTTGGATTGCTGCTGTAACCGTCTCTAAACAGAGCACCTCTGTACACATCAGAAAAACAAAAGGATCCTGATGGCAGCAGGCGCTTTTTGTTTCAGTACAAGAGACCACCTGCCTCTCTGCTGTGATATTAATCGCCAACTGATGCAATTTAACTTCTTCGGGAGCTGCTAAAGCTTTCAGTTGCCAAGCAATGCTGAGATAGCTGAGTGCCGCTTAAAGAGACAGGGAGCGTTAAAGCAGGAGCCACAGGGCTTTGTTCAGACCAGCAGTTTGCTGTGAAGCATCTCAGGGATGAAGTGTGGCCAATCACCAGCTGATCAGCAATATATAAGTAGAAAAAACATGAGAAACAAAGGTGATGAACATTTAGAGACAACGAGCTGGCACAGAAACTGGTATTGAAGAAAAACAGGGAGAATGCTGCACGGGGTCAAAAAGGTAAAGAAGAAAAAAAAGAAAAAAAAGAAACTAAACTTCTAAAAAGAAACTGGTTCTTTAAATGTTAACGACCAGGAAACGTAAAGTATTTATTCTATAACAACCACACGTGAAGACGCAGCTCGCAGCGTCAACACAGCTTCCAGTGACCCAAGAAATATAATGTTCCTCCTCATTTCCCTGATGGTCGGTGTTTAGGAAACACAGCCTGAAGACATCCTGAGAACCGAAGCTATTTCCAGCCTCACAGACACTGTGACGGTTCAATTATTAAAGACCCAAACCTGTGGGTGACTGGGGGGGTGGTCAGAGGAGGAAGTGTGCACTCTGCAGGTTTAAAACACAACATGACAGAAAAATCAACACATTTTCCTTCAGGCTGCTTTAAATTCTTAATTTTGAGAGTCCAACAAATCTCCCCAGAAACTTTTGAAAACAGCTCAAAAAACCCAACGAAATAAATCGAAGACATGTCGCTGTCTCACAGTTTCAACTTGGACTTGTCTCGATATTGTGGTGAGCAGTGCTGGAGGTGGAAGAAAGAAAAGCGCCAGAGCAAAACATTATTAAATTCTAGATTTTATATGGTCGCTGCAGTCAGAACTAACCCTGACCCACTAAGAGATATCGATGTACATTTATTTTCTCAAAGGAACCATTTGCCACAGTATTTGACACTGTATATTATGTATGTGTGTGTGTGTGTGTGTGTGTGTGTGTGTGTGTGTGTGTGTGTGTGTGTGTGTGTGTGTGTGTGTGTGTGTGTAGTAACAGAACTCGTCAGGCTTCAGATCTGTTACTCCACATCCATCAGGAGTGTCTCTTATTATCAAACTGTCTCTCCATGATCCCTGTGGACACTCTTTGGTAAATTAAAGTATCGCACACTTCAAGCTCTGGTTTCAGTCAGATTTGTCTTGATGTCCTTGGTATTACGACTCTGACTCTGTCTCACAGGTGTTTTAACTCGGACTTGTCTCGGTCTAGAGAGGTGCTTTGACCCGTCTCGATCTTGTGATGGTTTTGAGTCGGTTTTGTCTTGACGTCAAATTGGGTTGTTTCTTGTTCAGTCACATTTCGACCTTCTCTAAATCCACAGGTCTGTACTGATTCAAGTCACAGCAGTTTACTCTCAGTACGAACTACAGTAACACAACAGTAGGAATAACGCTGAACAGGCGCCGCTTGTGTTTTTGCTGTTAGCTGTGACTTTGACTCGACCCCCTCATGGACTCTAGCGTTGCCACCATCCTGGTAAACCATCAGAATTAAATCCGTGCCGACACGTTTCCTGTCTGTGAAGGACTGTACGAATTTTCCCGGCAACACAGCAGCTCCAAAAAAACCAAAGTGCAGGTGCATCAGTGAAAAAACAGCAGAGTTATTTTCAAAAGAGAAAGATGAGCTGAAAACAGACAAACTGCATCAACCTGAAGGTTCAGGTGTCGCAGGCTGAACAACAGGTGGATCACTGACGTCCACTACAGAGCGATGGTGTTACAGTAAAGAACACTCAGAGTATTACTGTGTGTTACTTTCTCTTCCTTCAGGCTCTCACTTAGGCACAAGCTTTGGTAAACGGATCGATCCATTGATTTGTCACCAAACATGACGTGCTGATTACATTCAGTTAATTGAGAACTAACGCCACATCAGAACACAGATCATTAATGATCCGTTTCTTCAGTTGATGTCAGACGGATTTTTATCTGGATATTTTTAGCGTGACCTTTCTCTCCTCTCTGTTATAACGATGGAAACTACGAGCTCACATTTCCACTCACTCAGACTGAAGAAGTGCAGCCGGCGAGCCACACCTCGCCACATCCACTGTCACAATCAGCTGCTTCTGATTGACACTGACATGTCGCTGCAGGAGCATCCTTGTGGCTGCAGCTTTGTGTGGAGGATTACGGAGGGAGCGGGTAGAGGAGGTTACAGGAGGAGCGATTTACTCCTCACTGGAGGGAGGTGAGACGTTCATCACCGGGAACAAAAAGCCTGTGGCGCTGTTTGAGTTGTGGATGTTAGAGACGCTCTGCTACAACACTTCAGACTGTGGCTTGAAGCAGCAGGGCTCAGCAACGTTGGTTCAACACTCATTAAATAACAGCAGCTTCATTACAAATTTGACAGGGATTTTATAAAATGATGCAAAATATATTTCAGGTGAAATGTGCATAATTTAAACTTTGATAACGTATTGAAGAAATATTTTCCAGCACATTCATGAGATTTAACTCAATGTCATATTATTGTAGTGATTTAATTATTATTATTAGTGAATTAATTTTTTTTTTTTTACCTGAAGCAAATAAAGAAAATGAAGCTACGTTACAGAAATGAAAGCAGGTGCAGTTCAGCTGGTTAAAGGTCCATTAATGTTCAGCTGCAGAAATCAGTGCAACACAACGTGTAAACACAAGATGTCTATCAACACAACACGTCCAGAGAGGCTGTGGTTGTGTGGAGCTGAATGAAGACACAGACTAACACAGTAGAAATGTGAATGTGGAGCTCGGCGGGCCGAGAAAACAGCGCCTACCTCCCGCTTGACGTTCCACAATAATTTCTCTTTGTACTCTTCCTCCGTGGAGCCCTCCATGTCTCTGTCCGTCCGTCCGTCCGCGGTGTGCACGACGCAGGTCTGTCTCTCCGGCGCTCTCAGTCCGCTCTCCCCGGCCTCTCAGAACCTCGGTCCTTTTTATTCCCCGTTTCCTTCTTCCTTCGCTCGGCCGGACTCTGACGCAGCCGAGCAGCCTGGGGAGACGTCAGAGGATCCGCCTTCCTCACTCTTACTGATCAATGGAGGAGTTAAAAAAAAAAAAAAATCAGTGGAGCTCACACAGGCTCCAGCATCCAGCCCCGCCCCGACCAGCGGCCCGCAGCCTCTCAGCATCCAACACACCAACCTGTGGAGCCTCCAAGTTATTTTTAGCAGTTTCTTTCTTTTTTTTTTTTTCCTTCTCTGGGCGGGAAAGCTGCGTGACAGGCGGACAGATGAGTGCGGAGAGGTTGGATGGTTGTAATAATTCACTATGGTTTTATTCTTGAATGCACAGATATGTGACTCCATTGTGTGTAATGAGCTCATTAAAATGCAGCTTTCTTAAAAAAAATAAAATAAAAAAATGGCTTCATTCACACACAGAGACTGCGGCTGATCAGAAAGATGATAAAAATAGTCCCCTCCCCTCTGAAGCACGTTGGTCATCCTCAGTGCTGATGCCAGGCTGGCCTGCTGCAAAATAAATGACGTCACAGCAACATGACACAGAATTACCTCCTCTGCTGGAGTCCCTTCTTTAAAGGAGCTACATGCTACAAGTTTTGCTATTGCTAAGGCGACCAGATTTTTGATCAATCAATCATTAAAATATCCAATGTTCTGATCTATGAAATAAAAAAGGGGGACAGCCATGTATTTAGACAATGGTACCTGTTGCACTGTAATAAACTTAGATTAAGGCTGACTGATAAAATGATGACTCCGTACCTTTGAAGTAGCTGTGAAGATCTACTGTCTATCTATTCTTCAATTGTTTTTATTCCTTTAATTCGTAAAATCAAAAGAATTAAGAGCATTTTTCATGTAAGGTTGTAAATATTGTTGCGTGGCGTCCATCAGTCAGGCGACTTCGGCTTTCGCTTTTGTAGACTTCAGTCTTTGAATTTGATGTTTGAACTGTTGCCCTCTGGCAGGACTTATAGATCTATATTTATATTATTTATATTAGTAGAAAAGGATCTGTCTTGTGTTTTTTTTTATGTTGCTTGTTTGTCTTTTTCCGATGCACCAATGAAGAGCATTGTCGTTGAATGGAGAGCTCACAGTGACAGTAAAGGCTTTCTTAGTCTAATTCTACTGACTTCTTTATTATTATTAAATGCAGTTTGTTTGATTGAACTGTAAACGATTCACCAGTGGCTCTGACAAAGCAGCAGCTCAGGCGTCACTGGTTCTCTGAGGCCAGCGTTTTCTTCTCCTGAAGTTCAAACTGTAGATTTTCTCAATATTCCTTCCTACAAGGGCTGAACAATTAATCAAAATCACAATATGGCAAAGTGAAATATCCAAATCAGCAGCTGCAACAGATCATGAATGAAGTGTTGTGGTGCTACAGAGATGCCCCGACCTATAAATCTTATTGTCCAGATGTAAAGGAACATGTTTGTTTGGTACAGACTAAACAAAAAACACATCATCATTTCTATATTTTTTCAGTGAAAATTACATAAAAAAATAATCACAATATGATTTTTGTTGCACATCGTTCAGCCCGACTTTCAACTAAAAACTGAGCAAAACACAAACAAAAGTTGAACAACAACAACTTTTATCTTCACAGCTGGAAAAAAGGCATCATGGTGAAACTGCATTAAAACTAAAACAGGTTCATCTTTGGCAAAACAAACTGTTGTAAATGCGTATATGAAAAATACAATCCATAAATATGAAACAGGCTCTCCTGCTGATTCAGAGTGTAAGTGCTATGATTGGAACAATATTTCATCTAAGAAATAGTGCATATTAGTGATTTTTCCTCCACTACGAATCTAAATGTCATTAAAAACATACACTTCTCTAGATATCTGAAGAAGCTGCTCTGATAATTATTCTTAAATTATGATGGACAGAGCAGACGACGCCACAACTGGAAGATGTAATTACATCAAGGTCATGATTTGGACTTCCTTCAGATAGTGGTGGCGACACTAGGATAAAAAAAATTCAAAATACAAATGTATGAGCATCAACAGACTCCATGTTTGAATGTTCATCATCAGTCCGGAGGTTTGGGGTTTCAGTCTCAGTGTCCCAGGGGCCGGTCGTCGTATGTGCTGTACCTCTTGACGTGGATTCGACGGACGCGCTCACGAAGCTCGGCTCCCCCCGGCCCCTCCTCCTCCTCGCTGTGAGAGCCGCAGCTGTTGTAGCTTCGACGCGTGGCCTCCAGCAGGGAGTTGTCAGGCAGCGGCATCGTCTCGTACAGCAAAGTGTTCAGGGTCTCCTCGTAGATCCGAGCTTCAGGAAACTCCACCTGAGACAGAAAGAAACAGGTACTGTGTCTGCAGTGTGAACAGACGGATTAAATATACAAGTTGAAATAATAAGTTCTGACCTGAAAATACACAAACAGTTGTAAGACCCATTTAAACTGACGTTCCACAATAATTGATAATAGTCTGTCTGTATGGAAATCGTTTTCATTACTTTGTTCATTTCTCTGTGGAGAATCTACCAAGAGTCAACCTCTGAGGCTGAAACATGAAGCATCAGCAGTGAAGAACCAGAAGCTGCAGTTCCTCTAACGACCACTAGAGTCTGGCTCCAACAGTGAGTCAGTCCCCATAGACTCCCATGTTAAAATGTCCAACTTTACAGCAGAAATAAACATGTTTACAGCCTGGTACAAAAACTGTTTTGGTCTCTAGAGCTAATTTCCTCCTTCATGACACCTGTTTATATAACTCACCTGTTTACATTTTATTAAGGACTACAGTTATGGAGGATTGAGGGCGTGGTCTCTTTGAGTGACAGGTGGGTGAGTGTATGTTTGTCACTAAAAGTCTCAGCTCCTCACACACCCCTCCTCTTTGACCATTTTTGGATTAGCTGGGAGTTAGGGGGTAGAGGCAGGTACTGCCAAGATGACGAAGGGGGAGCAGCTCACTCTGAGCTTCAGAAACCTGTGGGTGACGCTAATGGAATAAAGACTGAATTTTCATGCTTTAGTTGTAACTTTTAGAGGGTTTGTGTCAGTTTCAGGTTTAGTCAGAAATGATCTTTCCTCCTCCACTGCTCTGCTGTTTCTTAAGTCTTTGTTTCGTACATGTGTTCATCATGTATGTTATCCACATACATGTCAAAGAAATCTGATTCCAGCTGAATAAACCAAGTGTCATGAAGTCCTCCCTTCAATGAAATAGAGCCATACAAACAACATTTCTCCTGTTCCTTCTCAAAAACATTAAGTGTGACGTCCTGCTTCCTCACCTTGGTCTGTTTCTTCTCTGTGGCGTAGACGATGGAGGTGCAGCACACCTCGGCCAGTTTGCGGCCCTGACCGTAGAACGACCAGCAGCAGATCTCGTCTCCGATCACGTCCTTGATGAAGAGGACACGGCCGTTGAAGCTGAGAGACAGCCGGTCGAACAGCTCGATGTTCTTCAGCAGGTTGTCGTCTGAGTTACTGTGAACACAACAGCAAAGTGATGGAGACTCATCAACCACAAACAAGCAAACAAACACAGTGACCGGGGTCAATTATCTGTAATTAATAAGATAAAAGATAAGATAAACCTTTATTGATCCCACACCGGGGAAATTCACTTGTTACTGCAGCGTAGGAAAACGAGGTAGAAGAAAAAATAAGTATAACAATAGAATAAAGTAGAAAAATAAATCAACCATAAATAAGAAGGTATGTACATTATAAGTACTTGTGGTACTTGTACTGGTACAAGTACTGGTAATGATGGAAGCAGAGGGACCTCTGGAGGACGACTTTCTCACCTGGTGTAGGAGTACTTGTTATTGCTTCTGTTGTACACCAGCTTCACCACAGGCTAACAGAGAAACAAGACATTAAATATCAGGATTTCACTTCTTTGATTTCTAAATGTGGAGAATATGAATGAACTTGAAGCAGCTATGTCCCAGTTCAGAGGCTGCATTTGAAGACCAAATGCGTGACAGCGGTGCGACTAAGCTGTCACATTTCAAATGCATCCTCCGAGATATCGTGTCCACGAGAACGAGACGGATGGACAACATGAAAACAATATGGCTGCTGCTCTGACTGTCGCTGGCGGGGATAATTAAAAAGGTAAATGTTGTCAAGGTTGCTAGGCAACGGGAGCCTGCAACAGTAAGTGCGGGCACAGCTGGTGACGAAAAGCGAAAATCCTCCGTAGACCAGACCGTCTCGTTTCGGTTCGGCCTTCGCGGTCTACGAAGGGCCACACCCCTGAACTGGGACACAGCTGATGACAAGAAAAAGTTTTACAGTTTTCAGACCCCTTCACTGTCCAAACTATATTGTGCTGTAGATTTAATTATAATTTTTGATGAACAATTTAAAATTAAATCTACGACACAATAAAGTGTGTGAGCAGTGAAGGGGTGTGAATCCTTTCTGAAGCCACCGTGAGTGCATTCATTTATTCATTCATTCATTCATTCATTAATAGGAAGAAAATAACCAAATCTTATGTTTATCTTGGAAGAGCTGCTAAATGAAATGAACAGTTATTTTATCTTTTAATTATCAAGAACAAATTCCTAGAAAAGACGAATCACTGTTGGATCCTGATTTTTCACACTGGAGCTGCTGTTCAAAAGTTCAAAAACAATTTGTACAATATTTTCAGATTCTTCATAATGATCCAGCTCCAGCTCAGTGTTTACCTTGGTGGAAGACTGGATGAGCCTCTCTTCTTCCTTACTGGAGGTGACCACAGGTATAACACACAGGGGCTGCTCTTTATTGCCCTGTCAATCAGAATCACATACAATGGGAGTTAAAAGCATCATAGGTAGTTAGAATGTGGTTCAGACTAGCTATAACATTTTAAAGTGGGTAAAAGTCACATTGAGATGAGACTATAAACACATTTGAACCATTATTCTGGTTCAGGACATTACTTCAGTGGACAATGACACAGCAACAAATAAACACACAAATAAGAAATGTCCAACACTTCAACTAACAACATAAATTCAAATTAATGTCCAGAAACGGTTTCGTACTACATTCGTACTACATTGCCGGTGACTGACCTGCAGGCTGTTCTGACAAAGCTCCACCAGGCCATGGAGGAGGTAATACTTCGCCTCAGCCAGCAGCTCCAGGACAGCTTGACGGCCTTTGGGTAAGGCGACTGTGCCGTCACGCAGGTAGCACAGGATTGTGCCGAAGTGTTTCCCACTGCGATCAATCAGGATCCAACCTGAACAGACACAAAACACCATGTTAAGAATATGAACATCTGTTTCCTGTAAGACACTGGTGCACAGTCCCTGTGTCAGCAAACCCAGAGTCTTTGACAGGCCATGACATAATGAGCATTTTCAGTAAAATGATCTGATTCATTCTAGACCAGTTGTGATCATATGTGAACATCAGTGTCCGAGTTATTTTTTACTATTTAATCTGCAATATCATCTTGAGTAAAGTGTCAAAGGCGAATAGGAGGTTCCTTGGAAAAAAAAGTTATAAGACTTTTTTCTGTACTATAGAATGTATCACTTTAAATCTTGCTATTTTAAATATAAATTTGAATTTGATGTGAATGTCTTTGTCTTTTACCCTAAAACAAAAAAATGGCAATGCTACTGTCAGTAATAATGTTGACAGTCATCTTGTGTCTGTAGTTCAGAGATGGTTTACCTTCTTTATCAGTGAACACTTCCTTCTGTCCGCTGAACATGGCCTTCAGCAAGGAGTTCTGCCTGGTCAGTATTTGCAGCGTGCTGTAAAACAGGGTCCCGCCAACATTAAGCCGGACATACTTGTTGCCCAGGCCGACCGCTCCTCGATAACTGCAGGTCTTGGTCTTGGGACAGGCCAGAGGAGGGGCTGGGGAGGTGTGATGCTGGGGCAGGCAGCTGTCTCCAGACATGACCTTTTGGAGGTAGATGACCACCCTGCAGACGGAGGTCCGAAGGTCCCCCGCCGTGGTGACAGCTACTGATGAGGCTGCCACAACCTCTCACTGCTACAGATCATTCCTGAAAAAATAAAACAAAACACACAGAGCCCTGAGCTGAAGCTGAAAATCCACTATGGAGCTACACAGGAGAGGTCAGTAAGAATGTTTAACTGGTGAAGCAGGACGCCCAGTGGCTGAAGACATGAATCACAACACAGAGTGGAAACTATCTACCCTACTGTTATCTTTTCTTCAGTTTCCCTTAACATCAAATTAAATGTGGATGGGCAGGAAACTGAAAGGGTAGTGAGGAGGTAAATATAAATCAGTAAAAGGAGAATTTATGACTAAATAAGTTTACCGATCTCCAAAATCAGAAAACTTAATTGATCCCCAGGGGGAAATTAGGTTGAGTTACAGTTGCTCCTCAGTAAAGACAAGACAATATGAAGTAGGTCATAAAAGATAAAAATAAATATATACATATACATACATATGTACACACAAGATAAATATATACATAAACAGAAAAAATGTAAAGAAATATGTAAGGATATGAGTTTAAATATAAATATAAATATATAAATACATAAAAAAGATATACTCATACTATAATATAGAAAATAGGGGAAAAAAAGAAATATGTAAGGATATGAGTTGTACAATTGCACTTTTCAAATTACACTTGCACATGTCAAATACTTATACGTAAATAAATAAATTATGAGGTAACGTCTGGTGATCTTGACATTAACTAAAATTAGCAGCTGATTTCCAACCTCTACTAGATTCTGGTAGTAATCCCAACCAAGATATAGGCCAAATTTGTGAAGTGTGACAGCATTAAAACCTTAAATGATCTCATTATCTCAGGTACAGCAATGCTAGCTAATAAACACTGGCGTTACAACATTACATAGCTGCCTGTCGGTTGGTTAAAGTATCTGGTTAGCTTGTGTTCAACGTTAAACTACACACTTTGTCCCAACAGAGTATTTACAGAGAGAGATCTGTCATGGCTGCGTGAGCAACAGCGTTAGCTAACCTCACACAACCAATAGCATGTGAATTTCATATTTCTTGGCAACGGCTAACTTAGTTAATTAACTTGTACCAAGTCAACAGCTAGCTGTGGGTTAGCTCGGATATCCTGCTCGGTCGTATACACACTTAACTACCTTCAAAAACTTGTCCTTTTAAATATTTTCTTGTTTGTTGGCAAAAATCTATCTTTGTACGAGACTATTTTACTAACGACAATATAGTTATAGTGTTCTGGTCAATTCGTCTTGTCAATAATCCACCTCTCAATGCTTCTTTGGGACAAGATATCACCGTTAAGCTACATTCGTTTGTGAAACGGCTTCTTCCTACGTAGGTGGGTTTAGCTAATGTTAGCTAATGTTGAGTAGAGCAGCCAAACTTTTAATACGATAAAACTAGACAAAGTAGCCACTACTATAAGTTGAAAATGTGGTAAAACTCGAAGTTCGGTTTTCACTTAATACATATGGGGTTAGTTATAAGCTAGAATAAGATTTAGAAAAGGCAAAGTTCTCCAAATGTGTTGCCAGATTTTTCAATGGAGCGCCTGACGTTACCATCCTGTGGTGAACAACACAAACCGTGGGCATCACTTTACCAACTGTGACGTTCACCTACCGGCCTCTCCGCGCTGTCTTCACCTGTTGACAGGAAACCGCACATCGTGTGACGGATTCACCTCTCCTTTATCGTTTATCACCAACCGTCACAAGATGAGAAATATAACAAAAATGTATCAAAAAATTAAACTCTCTCCTTCTGATTCTTCTACTTCTTCTTTTTATTTGATTTGTCGATTGGCAACCAGCTGTCACGCGCTTTACCGCCACCTACTGGACGGGAATGTGGAACATTATATTACCTGGAAAAAATAAAAACATTTTATGATCAAACCGGTGTTTTTGAGATACTTCATTAGATTACTGAACATTCCCCCGATGCATCTCCAAGTAGGTTCCCAACAGTTAATGTCAGATTATTTTAGCCTACTCTCTTCTTGTTCTTGTTCTTCTTCCCGGATCCAAACCAGCTTTAGAGGTGCATACTACCGCCACCTACTGTGTCAGAGTGTACACAATCACCTGAATACTAAAGAAAAAAAAAGAAATAAACAAATAATAATAACATTAATAGAGATAAAGATATTTACACCCTATTTCCTAATCCTGTATGTATTATATAACCACCCCTCTCTCCTCCTTCTTCTTCTAATAAGTTCAGGTCAGGCTGCACTTTTGGAAGCATACTGCTGCCCCCTACAGTCAGTAACGCACATTGCCAGCTGTTTCCACCCCTGACCTGTCAGGTCAGCTATTTTCAGTGCCCACCATAAACTGGAGGTATGGCATATTCATGTCGGTCACATTCACTTTTAATTTTGACAGTTGGTCAAAAGATGTTGGCGTATGAATGAAAAAAATCATCTCTGGCCATAGTCAGCTTGTCATTCGATCATTTGTAAACCAGAACTGGATTAAGTGCATGTAAAATTTACCTTGTGACGCCTTCTGGCCTCTTAAATCTGGAAACTGGTGTAAAAAACAAAAAACAAACTTGGAAAACCTGAAAACCCCCCCCCCCCCGTTTTTTAAATTAAATTCACAAAATCAATGTACAAGACAAGATAGGGAATGAATTTACAGAAAAGAATAACATTCAACAAACGATGGTGGAAATGATAATAGGCTATAGTACAGTCAAATCTCTTAACTGGTTTATATGGAAGCCATTTTCCCCAGATGATGAAACGAAAATCGACCCGCAGTATATCAAAATTAGGCAATATGAAGAGTCTTAGTCTTATTGTGTCATAATTATGATTTAATATCTCAAAATACAACTTTTTCCGTTTTAATTTCAATGTAAAAGCCCCTCTTTCCGCTTTAATTTCAAAGTAAAAGCCCATCAACCTTAAGTAATAGCAATCTGTTGAGGATTGGGCGAATGAAAGTACAACACATTTAATGTCACGTTTGCTTAATGCCTAACCTGAACCCTTAACCCCTAAACCTGAACCTAAATCTGGACCTAAACCCGATTCTGACCTGAAGCCTAAAACCAACCTTCAGACTGCCTTTGTTGTGAGGACCGACCAAAAAGTTATGTAAACACTCTTTAAGGTCTGTAAGTCATAAAGATAAGAGTACACGCACGCACGCACGCATGCACACGCACGCACGGCGTCTGGTTTCCTTGGGGAGGAGCAAGCGGCTCCGTCTAGTGTAGTTGCTTTGCCACATATACACTCATCACAGGAACAGCAGCGTTGACGGTTGGAGCAGTTTAAACAGGTAAAATACAGTTTTCTGTCCTGACTGCAGCTACATACGGTTTAATGTTACTGTCTCAGGAGCGTAATTAGCTTTAACCAGGGAGGTGGTGTGTTTTTAAAACGTACAGCTAGCTTCAGAGCAGGCTAACGAAATGTAGCTAACTAGCTGAGTTATTTTAACTATTTTAGGCAAGAAAGCTAAAGCTATCACAAACACGGTGAGGTGAGGCCATATTAGGGGAAAATATTTAACTATGAGCCCAATTATTTAATACTGTGTCCACTGTTGTAGATTAACCGTATAATTAATTTTATGAAGTTACCGTTAAATCCTGTTAACTCATTTACACACGATCAAAGGCTAACGCTAATGCTAATAGCAGCGACATCATTTACATTCGGAGTTGCAGCTGTAGGTTTCAGCGTTTTACACAAAAAGGTGCAGTGAATAAATAAAGTTTCATCATTCAAAACGAGGTGCCGGCTGCTGCTGCTGCCGCCATATGCTGCTCTCTCGCCGAAGGACACTGCTCATTGTTTATTATACACCAATAACCGTGTCCAATGGTAACGATACTGAGATGATGGTGTGTGTCACACCATCACTGTAGCTGGATAACGAGAAACTCGTCAGCATAAGATCCGTTATCAAGCCATAAACCCTGTTGATACCCTGTTGTTGTAATGTGTGACATAAATGTCCCAATATCCACAGTAATGTTTCCATGTGTGTCACAAATAAGTGGATATATTTTTATCGCATTATAAAATATCCATAGTAAATTTTACATACATTAAAAATATCTCCTTTTTTAATATGGTATAACATGGTGTGAGCTTATATGTTAATAATACATATATAATTAATATATTGAAGGTTTTTAAAATTCTATATGCTTATATATATTTCTTGTTAATTTCTCATTAATTTTAAACATATCTATCTTCATATTCTGGGTGGTCTTTGGACTCTACTGCCATAATATGTAACATACATATTTGTATGAGCTAGATATATATGTCAATGTATATGAAATAGTTCCAATTTATAATCGTTTCCTATACAATTTTTCACGTATAGGTACATATAAAATAAAAATGTAAATTAAATATATGTACATATACTATATTCACATATGGGTTGTCCAACTTACATTTCTCACTGTCTGCAACATTTATCTTCCACTGCAAGGCCTGAATTGAATTTAAATTTAAAATCTCTACTTGTCTCTGTTGTTCGTTTCTTCATCCTTCATGTTTTGTCTCCTCTGTGACAGGGGCCTGTGGCCATGGCTAAAGACCCGCTAGCAGAGGCAGGCTTTTATTTTGATGAACTCAACAAGCTCAGGGTCCTGGAGCCTGATGTCAGCCAGAAGACCTCAGAGCTTAAGGAGGAGTGTAAAGAATTTGTGGACAGTAAGCACTGAAGATCTTGTCAGGTCCATTTGGTCATGACTGTTTCCCCCCTCCAATATCAACAGGTGGTACAGGTGTATGAATTAGTGTTGTCTCTTACAGAAATTGGCCAGTTCCAGAAGATAGTCGGAGGTCTTATTGAGCTGGTTGATGAACTGGCAAAAGAAGCGGAGACAGAAAAGATGAAGGTAAGCGTCAACATTTAAAGCTGCTTTTCATTGGGTGTTGCTGAAGTTGACGTCCTTACATGCCTGAGCTTTGAAGCACCTGGTGTGGTTGAACTCTTACTCACCTAACCTTAGTTATTTTCAGGTATACTGTACAGTGTAAGACTCCATTTGCTCAACCCCCCGTTCTTCTCCTTTAGGCGATAGGAGCCAGAAACCTGCTGAAGTCAGTGGCGAAACAGAGGGAGGCGCAGCAGCAGCAGCTTCAGGCGCTCATCGCAGAGAAGAAGATGCAACTTGAGAGGTAAACTCCACAACAACCAACCAGAACAGGTCAATCTGTTTTCAGGTTGTTTGTCAGAAGTGTAGTTGGCTCCTTTAAATGAGCAGTCATTCAAAAAAAACCAAAGAATAAACATCTACACAGGATTATAACTCGACGTGATGGTTTCTACCGTCACATTAACCAGTCTGCTGCTGGTTGTTTTAACACCTCGAAGCCACTGAGAGCGCATGAAACTAGTTAGTGAGCGAGAAGAGAAGTTGAAGTAGAAGTAGTTAGCTAAAAGTGACAATTAAATGATTTAATTAGTAATATAGAGATAAAATGTTTAGCTAAAAGTATCCGATAAAAAATTGAGCGTTTTAATTAAAAAATGACAGATTAACAGTTTAAATAATTAGCTAAACACAGTAACTAATGTTATAAACTAATAATAACTTAATGTATAACCAGTTTAAATAACAGTGTATAAAATCAGTTTAAATGAATTAAAAACTGAGATAAGTCACGACATGTTATGGTTTTAATGTTAAAGTAGATGCTTATTTTAGAAACAGCAATCGACCCCATGTCCTTACATATTTCTATTATCATTTACATATGATAGTAAAAGAGCACATTTTTATATTTTATCTTTATAATATTACTTCATATTCTCTATTCTTTGCCCTTTCATTTCCATTCTTGAGGGAGCAACTGTAACTTCATTTCTCCCTGGGGATCAATAGTTTTCTGATACGGATTAAAGAAGTTAAAATTGAGCTCATGTCGTGACATCACCTGGCGACTATTGTGACTTTTTAAATGGCCAATTATTGTCCATGGAAAAACAATTGTTGCTGATTGTATCATAACTTCTCCTGTGCATATTATTTGTAATTGGTTTCATGTGAGTGATGATTTTTCTTTACTGCGTTAATCCATTTACACTCAGTTTCCCGTTTTCTCGTCTCAGGTATCGCATCGAGTACGAAGCGCTGTCCAAAGTGGAGTCTGAGCAGAACGAGTTCATCGACCAGTTCATCCTGCAGAAGTGAGGATGTGACCATGTGACCTGTGCCGTCACGTTTCCAGAGTGCCTGTCCTGTTTTCTCTGGGTGATTCCCAGCCCAGAGGATTACTCTGCTGCACCCTCTTTTTCTGAAGCAATCCTGAAGCTCCACCTTCTCTTTCCACCTTCCTCCTGCTTGAGTGTGTAAAGAAACATCCAGCTGCTGACAGCTGGATTTACAGTGATGTAAGCTTGAATATACCTGGAGCATTAAGTTTTGTTCACACCAAATATCTCAACATCTCAGACCAACAGTAAAGAAGACGGAGCTATTTATACAAAGGAACATTATTTATACTATTTATACTGAAGAATGACTGTATATCTAGTTTTATTACTTTTTGTATCAATTGAAATACTGCATGTGCATGAATTTGTAAATACATTTTGGTTTTAAATGATTGAAAAATGAATATCCTGATTTGATCATTTGTTACTTTTGCTGTTATTCTTTTGGTACAACCAGTCAGTGAGCACAACACATGAGGAACAGTCTCCTCCTTCTGTCTGTATCATTGTCTTTCATGCATTAATTAGACAAATTATTGTTATACTTGAATAAATACTGTAAATTGCACAAGAAAAAGCATCATGTTTTTCTGTAACGATGCTGCACATTTTAACATCGTGCTATTATGTACTGTTTTAATAAAAATGACTTTATCTAAAGAAGTTAACACTGTTCAGTGGTTGACATGCTCTAAAACTAAATGAGTCAGAGCAGCAGTTATTGATATGTCTACAGTAATGATAATAAGCTTTATTTGTGAAGCACTTTTCTTAAAGTTACAAAGTGCTTAACAAAAAGATAAAAACAAGAATAAAACAATTATAGAAAAATAAATAAATTGAAATTCACAGAGATGAAGATTTAAAATAAATAAATAAAAAGAATAAAGGACTAAAAAGCAGTTACAGATCGAGTGAAATCTGAATTCAGCAGGTCGTTACTGAGTCGTGGGCTCAGACAGCCTTTAGTCACAGGTCACTATCAGCTGATCCAAGATGGTGCCCAGGCTCATATGTAGTTAGTAAATCCCTGATATAAAAAGGGGCCTGGCTTTGTAAACCTTAAAAAGGTTAACAATAAGATTTTAAAATCAATATGAAACAAACAGGAAGCCAGAGTTAGTGTTAAATGCCCATAAGCCCGAGTAACCCTGTGCAGACGTCATTACAGGAATCCAGCCGTGAGAGAATAAAGACATTAAATCAAGTGAAGTTGGTAGAAGCAGGACTGTGGAAGCCAAACTGATGGTTCAACATTATTTCCTTCAACTGCTTCAGACTCTGAAACTGGCTGGACACAGACTTGTCAGGTGATTTCTTCTCTCTCTGCACCTGAATCGATTCTATCACGTAAAAATGGCGCCATTTAAATCAGATTTAGGAAAACGTTGGTATCAGCTCCTGTCTTTGGGGCAACCTCAAAAACTGCCTTCCCATAATGCAACAACACAACTGAGCTATAGTTATTGATAATTACTTTATTTAAAAACACTAGATACAGTAGATAATCACATTTCAGTCTAAACAGTATTTACACTTTAATATTTGAGTGAATTGAGCAGTGGCTTTATACTTGTTACTTCACCCACATTGTGTCGAGAACAGACAGTAACAGCAGAGAAGCTGGAGACAGTGTGTCCACGGCTGTGAGCCATGTCAGGCGCCTCCTTTCTTATGCACCTCACTTCTTCTTGGTATACTGTAAATCAAGGACAATTAAAAGGTGCAGTGTATTTATCTGTGTATTAACATAATATTTTAAAAAAGGCCTTCATCCTTACTTTGTCTAGAATCCAGTCAGCATCTGTTATTGCTCTTTGGACGATCATTCGTATCCTCTCTGGGTCGTCTTCATCCGAGTGACTGTTGTAACCCTGGAAACACAAAGTAAAGCATCAGAGGGGTGTTTGATGAAGCCAGGATTACTGTGAAAAGCTTGGTTTGAATGAGCCAAATAAAATAAAACAAACCCTGGTTTATAAAGTTATCTCAGAAAATTTATCAGCAACTATCAAACCTTCTCTGGGTCCAGCTTTTCATTCATTCTCCATAAGAAAACTGAAAGATTTTGAAGTTTTGGACTCTGAGGCACCACCAGAATACTTGATAATGAAAATAATCCTTAGTTTCAGCCATAATTCTGATTTATTACAACTCTGGATTTTCAAAGATTTGCTTAACAGTGATAATAACATCACACTCAAAGTCAGTCGCAGTTGTCAGTTGGGAATGCAGCAGCAGAGAACTGAGGAGAACGGATTGTAAACACACATTACAGTTTAAAGACCAATTTCCTGGTTGAACTTTGACCTGCTGCTGTTGCTGTCGTTCTGTGCGCGCAGCAGATGTGCAGATCTCAGCAATTAATTAATAAAGTACAATGACGACGGGCTACAAAGCAGAACTACACAAATTCAACCCAAGTTTTTATACGTGCAAATTTTCAAAGTGGATACTTGAGGATACTACGAAGTCTCTTTAAAGCACTGCTGTGTTTGTGGCAGAGCAACTGTCTGGTGGAGCAGGACATGTAATTACATACTGAACATTAAACTACTAACTAAGCAGATGCCAGCAGCCACTGCTCTATTGTCCTGGTCAGTGGCAATGGTAGAAATACTGTCAAGTCCATAATACATGTCTTGGTGTGGGCAGAAACTGCAAACTGCACAGAGACGCCTCGTCAGATTCAAACCAAGAATCTTTTTTGCTTTGAAGTGACAATATTACCCACAGACCCATCGGGCTGCAGGACTGATTTTAACACATTAGACGGTTTGAGATCAAACTACTCTACAGCTGAAGATATATCCAGCATCCCTTTGCATCAGCTCATTGTCCACAAACTGTCCTTCTCAATGGGAGGCTCAGAAACTATCACTTGAAAATATACATGTAGAAATACAGAGTATATTGTATGAAGGTTTAGAAATTGCTAAACTGTTCCTGATGAATTCTTGGGTTTCACAGCAGCTCAGTTTAACAATCTAGACTAGTGCAGGGGGCTGTTACTTAACTTGATCCAAGAGGTTAGTTGGTGTAAAAGTGCAGGAAGTTTTAAATAACAATATATTTTTCTGGGGAGGACCCTCTGACCCCCCCCCACCAATCATGTATCCTTCCAGACATTTTAAAACATAACCTGGCATCCATCTAAATGCATTCCTTCACAACAGAACAGTGACTCTGATAACCATGTACCAAATTACATCTATGATGATGTAAAACACTTAAAGTTATGACCACACTTCTGTCCAAGTGGGATGGGGCTCTTAAAAAAGACAAAGGCTACCCCTCCTCAGAAATCTCAAATTAACCCCCGTGTCCAACCATAGTTTATTACAGTACAACGGTTACTGTGGTCAAAATACATAAAATCAGGACTGTCCCTCTTTCTATTTCAGATAAAAACACTGGATATTTTAATGATTTATTGGCCGCTGAACTGGAAATGTCTCTGGTTTTCATTTCAGAAACCTTTTTTTAACGCAAAGTTTTTACATAATATAATGTCCAAGATCAGTTGAGAAACATTTCACCTATTAGTAAATCACTGCATATGCAGATCTCACCTGTCGTATGGCGTGTCGATAGTGTTGCTGCATTGCTGTGGACGGTAACTGCCTGCAGCATCTGAGGAGATATCGATAGAGCTGCACTGGTGTCTGGATCAACTCGGCTCCAGCTAAAGGTGGCATCCCCTCCTCCTTTGGGGTCAACTGACAACTACTGTTAATGAAAATATTCAAGTTAGTGTATGTATTAACCCTAAAAATATGAATTCAGTAAGATGCAATAGCTTTGAATTTACATTTACATACAAAGCAAGTGAAGAGATCCTTTTATGGGTGTTACAGATGCAAGTCACAGTCAATTCAGACAAACATTAACATTCAACTTTTAGTTAACACTTTAATAACATAATGGCTTTAACAGTGCTGAGCTAATCATATAGAAATGTTCCAGTGAACCTACAACAAACATGCAGTTTGTAACTGTCAAGTTTCCATTAGTCACCAAACCACCAAATTACGTTTTCTAAAACTGTTTCACATGCTGCTGCGTTTCCTTACTTTATTCAGTGACCTATGCTAGTCTTCATTAGCAATATATGCTTTCAGTAGCTACCTGTGCTCTCATTAGATACTTAGGCTTTAATTAGCTACCTGTGCTATCATTAGCCTCTAGCTTCCATTAGCTAGTTATACTTTCAGTAGCCACATGTGTTTTCATAAAGTGGCCAGACACAGCTGGCCTGGAGGTAAATCCTGCGTTATTAAATGAAGCTAGCAGCTAACAGTTGTAGCTTCTACATCGCAGTAGTTAAATTACTACAAAGGAACGGTAAGTTTTCCTTACTGTAGCTGTGAGCAGCAGTGACGGCCGTCAGTGGGTCCCCGACATCCTTATAACCTCCTGGGAGTCACATTATCTATCTCCACTGTAAACGGATGTGTTCTCTTCGTCAGCGTCGTCCGCTTCTTCTTCTTCTTCTTCTTCGTTTTAATAGCGACTTACAACCAAAAGGATCATTATCGCCACCTAGTGTTGCTTTATAGAGTCCGTATATTCTTGTTTTCAGTCCAGTGTCGTAGGTAAGTGAAGATGTGTTTAAAAAACAATCATTCCCAGATTTGTTTTGCAAAGATTGTTTTAAGATATATGCGTTTAATCCTTTTATATACAGTCTATGGTTTAATTCATAGACAGTTAACCTCTATGAAGGACAAAAAATGATAAAAGTATAAATAAATACATGCAAAAATAAAAGCAAAATATTGGTAATAACAAATACAATTTCTGTAGTTTTTCATTTTTTTATTTATGAATGTCTACATTTATTTTTTACCATATTTCTATATTTATTCATGCATTTCAAGATTTATTTATTTCTGTATTTCTACATTTATTTATTTCTAAGTCTGTAAGTTAATTGAGGTCCTTCCTCATTCTAAAGCCGGTTCGGTTAAAGAGGTGTGATCAGTTGGATGGATCTGCTACTACTGCCTTCACTGGTACACAGAAGCTTTGCCTTTCCAGTGTTGCCATCTTAGTGACTCTGACACTAGATTGAGCGATTTTTCAGACTTTTTAGTGATGTCAAAGTTTCTGATGTCAAAGTCACTAAGATGGAGACACTGGAAAGGCAAAGCTACCTTGTACCAGTGAAGACAGTAGTAGCAGATCCATCCAATCGAACCAGTCCAGCTTTAGATTGAGGAAGGACCGCCTACCTAATTAGCATACAGACTGAGAAATAAATAAATAAATATAGCAATAAATAAATGAATACATAAATAAATGAACAAATAAATGAGGAAATAAGTAAATGCATACATAAATAAATCATGAAATGCATGAACAAATAAATACATGTAAAAATACAGAAAATGTTAAGCATTTATTTATATATTTATTTATATGTCATAATTTTTCATCCTTTATTTAACATGTGGCGGAATGAAGAAGCACATTTCACAAATATTGGACCTTTAAATAGTAAACATAAGTACAGTATTTTTCAACTTGTACTACACCACATATCAAGGAATATATTGTATGTATTACTCAACTACATTCATTTGACATCTGTAGTTACTACTTACTTTGCAGATTAATAGTTTACACACAGTGTGGTTACGTACAGTAGCTCAAGCAGCTACAACATTAAAATCAAGGCCAGAACCAGGATAATCAGTCCCCTAACTAACCCTCCATCTCAACCCACAACCAGGAACTATTATAATGTTACATTTTACTGCTTTTATTAATATAGTTAGCTGTTCAGTTATATTTTATATAAATTGTATTTTCCACTATGAAGGTCTAGATACTGTGTCAAAGCATTTTCCACACTACCAGGAATAAAATTCTGGTGGAGAAATACTGAATCAAATATTTGTTGATTCATGTTGAAAAGTAAAGTTTAAATATAATGTCTAAAAATATTAGAATATTCCAACAAAATATTGAATAGTTTTTTCACTATGGACTCCTCCTAGTTACTAAAATCCCCAAAGGCCATGACCTAATTCTCTTCAATGCTATTTACAGCTTGATGATTAAAATGCTGCTTACGTGATAACTGATTAATTAGGTGTAAGTGGAGGAATCCCTGTCTAAATAGAGGAGAGATTAAATAAACTTGTATATCGGCATCAGTTCTGTCAGTAATGAAGAAACAAGCTGTAATTAGTTGAACAGAACTAATTAAAACTGAAATAAACACAAAAACGTGAAAATTTCACTTCCAACAAAGAAGATAAATATAAAATAACAGTATTAAACACAACGATCAAAGCGATGCTCGTATGAACAAGCTCTTCTCCAGTGACTATGAACAACCCCCCCAATCAGCTCGCCAAACTCCATGCCACCACGCAGGCAAAATCAAAGAGACACGCCCCCAAAATAACCAATTTCTAAGAGCTAAATTAAATTAATAGAGAACTAGCTTTCAGATGATCACCAGAACACTATCACTTAATGTATCTTGGTAAGCGTTGCAGTGACCGTGGTGATTCATATTGACACAGTATAACAGCAACATTGACATAAAATTTGACACCTTACTTTGTTGTCAGTGGTCTGTTTGATGGTGAATATGTCACACAGAGCGTGTAAAATAGAAATTTTAGCAGCAATTTTAGCCACAGCGCATGTGAGACAGAGACATTTTGCTGCCAGGAAGGTGTTACTACGTAACTCTCATTTTGAAAACTTCATGTCTTTTCTTCTCTTGCCAGCACTCATAATTGGCTTCTCCAACTGCTAGTTCAGCTGCAGCCATCCGCGCGCTTGTGCTCGTAGATGAGTCAATGAGCGGTGGTCGACTCGCGTGTAATTATCAGGGAGGCAGCAGATCCATAGACGGACTTGCATAGTCATGGTGGAGCAGTTTATGAAGGGGTGCCTTCCCTACTGACATCTCCTATTAAAACCACCTTCTATATTCATCGCTCGCTGATGGCAAC